GAGCTTGTTTGTGCTCAGCATGCTGAGACTGAAGTGCCCAGCTCGGGGTGCAGCACTGCTGCATGGGTAACTTGCCATGTTTGTGGCTAGCTTGGACTCACTTGGGAGCAAGAGGGAGGTGTGAGCCCTGATGTGAATAGGGGCCATTCACACATCCTCAACTGGAAGATAACTCTGCTCTTCAATGAAGAGCTGTTTGCTGGTAGGACAGAGCCCCCAGGCTGCTGCCTTGGCCTGGGGTCTGGCTCTGGACTGAGTTGTGTTCAGGCCTGCTGCTGCTGCTGCAGGGAAGAGGGCTCGGAGAGAGCTCTAGCATCCAGGCTCTGTTGCGGTTTATCAGTGCCAGATCGCAGGCTCACATCAGGCAGTGCAGCACTGTAGCTGCTGTGGGCTTCCCTTCCTCCCTGAAGCCCTCCCCTCAGGGATGAGGACAGCAGTTAACAGCTCATCCATGTGCAAGAGTCTGGGCTACTAAGTCCTTCCTCGCTGTAGGATGGGGATTGATTCGAGTCAGGGTTGATCGGAAGGGTGGGTCCCCTTTGGGCTGAGCTGCAGCAGGCCAGGAGTTTCCATCATCTCATCTCCTGTATTCCAGGTGACTTAACCAAATTTGGCCGAGGTGATGCCTCTTCCCCTGCTCCTGCCACGACTCTGGCCCAGCCCCAGCAGAGCCAGACGCAGACCCACCACACCACGCAGCAGACGTTCCTGAACCCGGCGCTGCCTCCTGGCTACAGTTACACCAGCCTGCCCTACTACACAGGGGTACCAGGGCTCCCCAGCACCTTCCAGTACGGGCCCGCCGTGTTCCCTGTGAGTTCCCCGGGGACAGGCTGTGGGATTTGGGCAGGACAGGCAGGACAGAGAGGCCTCTCCTCACTCTGCTGTTCTCCTTCCTGTAGGTTGCTCCTACCTCTTCCAAGCAGCATGGTGTGAATGTCAGCGTCAATGCATCAGCAACCCCTTTTCAGCAGCCCAGTGGCTATGGCTCTCATGGATACAGCACTGGTAAGAGACCCAGCGTCTACTTCAGCAGCAGGCACTGACGCTGCAGTTCCCAGTCTCTCTGGCCACGTGAGGGGGCTGCTGTCTTGGTGCCTCCAGCAGCAAGGGAGGAAAATGGCCATGGTGCAACTCCCAGGGGATTTGATTCTCCTTGGAAAGGCCCAGGCTTGTTCTGCATCCAGGTCTGGAGCAGGTTTGAGGAGTACAGAGCACTCTGTGCCTTCCTCTGTGCCTAGCAGTTGGATGGGTTGGGCCTTGCACTTCTGTCAAGGGCTTTTTTTTTTTTTAATGCCATCTGTAATCAATAGAATAATAATTGTCCAAGATTGGAGCCTGGGAACTGGTTTGACTCCTGTGTTGGACAGACTGTGCTTCCTAGAGAAGCGTCCTTGATTCAGAGATATGAGGAAGTCACAAACCTGCCACTTGTCTCTACTGGTGTCACTGGTTAATGTATGCCTGGGTTTGGGTCCCCCTTCCAGCCTTTAAATCCTGGTGTGCTTTTGTCACTGCATTAGAGCCCTTCAAGGCACAGTTTTCCCTTCAGCTCTGCCCCAGATCACTGGTGCTGAGTCTTTCAAACCTCTTTCATTTCAGCACCTTTTCTAGGCCTTAAATGATTGCTGAGGCTTTCCTCTGTCCCACCACCCTTGAAAACACGGGCTGTGAGCCGGTGTTGCTGCACCAACCACACCAGCCCACAGCTGAGTCCCCTTTACATGCAGTTGCCTGTTTGACTCCCAAGGAGTTCTCTTGCCACTGTGCTACGTGCCTGGAGCTCGTTTCCTCCTCTCTCTGCTGCATCCCCCCAGCTTTTCTCAGAATTGCTGTTTTTTGGGCTCTTCAAGAACATGCATTTCTCTGGGTGGCAGCAGGAGGCATTCAGAAACCGCTCATGTCCGGAGCAGAAGAACTTCCCCTGGTACAGGCCCTTTGCAGCTTGGCCTTGCCAGAACCCTGCTGCCCAGGATGTGTCAGCTCGTTTCCTCCTCTCTCTGCTGCATCCCCCCAGCTTTTCTCAGAATTGCTGTTTTTTGGGCTCTTCAAGAACATGCATTTCTCTGGGTGGCAGCAGGAGGCATTCAGAAACCGCTCATGTCCGGAGCAGAAGAACTTCCCCTGGTACAGGCCCTTTGCAGCTTGGCCTTGCCAGAACCCTGCTGCCCAGGATGTGTCTGTCTCCAGCCCTTCCCTGGCTGCC